GCACGTTCGCTCAACTGAACTGAGAGATGAATGGATCGTTTCAGGAAGTGATACAGTTCAGTTTGTTCACTCAAAAGATTCATTCTTTTGAACAAATTGTTTGCGAACGTGCGTAGACACCCCTCATGAGATTGTTTTGATTGTTGGTACCAATATGAATGTAATCTGCATTATGGTAACTTACCATGAAATTGAATGCGCCTATGTGGTGTTAGAGGTGAAGCAGGGACTGTGTGGCAGGTCAAAAACCAGCACAGTGTAATTGCTATGTGAATTAGATTTCCCCTTTCTTTGCATAGCAAAAAAGGATGAAAGTGCACATCTTTTATTCAACACACGTGTCAGTGATGCCATCAGGTCTGTCTCTATGCACCATGATTAACGAAAACATAAAACAATATATCTGAATGACATTAACGGGCCACAATATGAAGAAAATGCCCTTAACAGGTCTTTTCAATAAATGGTTTATTTGATAATTGGTCAAACACTTATGCTTGAATTCATTAATGTAACATCATTGAACTCTAAATACAGGCAATGGTTGTCCTTGGACCAGAACAGCCAAATATTTTCTTGTCCCAGGCAAATCTAACACCCTCTGTTTTCACAAGCTTATTAGTGCAATGTTAAAGTTGCTTGTGGCAGTTTTGCACCTCTGGTACAAGGACATCAGTTTCTTGTTGCAGTGCACTTGGATGATAAAACTGTGGCTCTTCTTTTCTTTATCAGGACACTATGATATGGAGTGCACAGATTTTTAAGGGAAGGAAAACCACTGTATAATTATTGGTCTCGATAGAAGCCAGGCCCACAACATTTACTGATTCCTCCAGATTCCAACCGCCAGCTGTGCCACAAGTGGCATTGGTCACCATATCCTGTGGATTTAGGGATGTTCAAGTACACCATGAATATAGGGTGATAAATCTTTGAAATTTGATTTTAAAACCCCCTCCTGAATTATATAGGCAAAAAAAGTAGTCCGGAAAATTTCTAATTTTATGTTTTCTGTGTTCCCACTCACAGTGCACATGTCCTATTGCTTGAAAAACATCTGTGTAAGAAGAAGGCGGTAGTCTGTCTCTTTGTAGAGCTGATTAGCTAACTGTATACAAAAAAAGCAAAAACAACTGTCAGCCAGCTGTGTGTTTGGTGAAGTTAGACACCTCACGCCTTTAATTAAAGCTTTGCGTTAGCTGCCTCATTTTTTTTTTTTTATTCTCTTCGTCAGATAATTCACAATGCAGTGTGTGTTCTAAGTTACAATAGGACATATTTGTCATATTTGTAATTATAGTGCTAGAAAGAGAAAAGTGAGGGTAGCTAAAGAAAAACATAAAAATGAGATGGGAAATGTCTTAACTTTCTCCCACCCTCAACACAAGTACCTGGGTTCAAGCCTGACACGGCTTACAGGGTCTTTGTGTGTTGTAGAGTTTGTGTCCTCCTTGTTTTCCCTCCCACAGTCCAAAGTACATGAAGGTCAGGGAAGCTCTAAATGAGTTTGACCGAAGTATGTGTGTGTGACACATCGACAACCTGCTCCTATCGCTCCAACAATGCATGCTGGGATAAACTGCAGTGACACTGAACAGAAATAAGTGTTTATAGGAAATATATAGGGGATGGATGGATGAGTCAGTTCAGTCTTTTCAGTGAAATACTGTATTTTTCAGCAATGTGGACACCTGTGGTTGGAGGATGGCCACAGATAAAATTTCTCATTTACAATAAGCATGTTAGACTGACTGCTCTCTCCTTTTGTTCTCCCACTGTAGATTAATGAGGTGATTCATACACTTCTTAATGTTGTGAGCTTCTACACCATAATTCACACCGCCTGGAGCAACTTTTTATCTGTTCACGTCTGTTCGCATCTGTTCATATCTTTCCATTAGCTTTGTATGAGTTCACACCGTTGTTGAATTCTGCATCTCATTAAATCTGAATGCATCATTAATCATCAACCAAAGACTTATTTAACCCTTTCTTAACCTCCATTGACACTATTTTATATTCAGATTTTTTATTCAGTATATTCTGATTCTGTCGTGACTATTATAACTCCTTTATGGAACACATAATGAAAAGAAAACAGGCATAATGTATGATTACTTAATTCACAATGCTATCCACTGACCTCCTGCCCCCTTTTCCTGCGCCCTACTGGGCCATTGCATTTTCACTGCGGCACACTTGTCACTACATGGCTGGCTTACACACAAGAACCGTGGACTGTGTGCCACCACTCATTAAATCACGCACACGCGCCTGTGTCGTCACACTCTGTAGCCCTTTGGCAAATTAAAGTCTAAACACAAACAAATAATCAGGCACTACTGACCTTATGGTAGCGAAGATGCATTTCAGACTACAATAATATACAAGAGAATGAAAATACACAGGTGTTATTTAGAGTTACAGTTACAGTTACTTCATTAATAGATAGATAGATAGATAGATAGACAGATAGTAATACTCAAACTGACAGATCTAAATGAATGTTTCATGTTAACGGTGATTACTTATCTAGTCTGAGTAATTCTCTAGCCTGTGGAAGTTGTCTTTCCATGCTGTACAAATATGATTATCTGCAAATGACTTCGTCTGGAGGCAGGAAGGCAATATATCTTCTCTAATCTCCTCAGCTATGCTTACCGACTACAGAACACCAGTGTTCAGCATATCAGTATTCTCCTTTAATGTCTTTGTCCTACAAAAGTAATTTGTGTGCCAATCGTCACGAGTGTGAAAACAATCACAGTGTCATTGTCAGTATGTGTCTGTGTGACAGATTTCCTGATCCAAAGCCTCTCCTGAGGATTTAAGCAGGGATGGGGAAGGGCCAGTGGTGCCTTAAGCTGTGGACAGTTGTCTTTAATGGCTCATCTGCTTCTTGATGTGATGAATAATGACAGACATTTTAGTCTTGCCAACCGTGAGGGGCTGAAGTAGCCGGTCTGACCTCCATCGAGTCTGCCAAGAAGTGGGATATTGGGCTGCATATTTTCACATTGTGAGAGAGTTGTCATTTAATCCCGTTTGATCTCTTCATCGTCATATTTGTCAGCACAAAATGGACAAGACCTGGAAACGCGTCAAGTGATTTTTATGTCAAAAGGTGGTATGACTCACTCACGGGTAGTGTTGTTGATACATGGACATGGGCTGAAGGTTTGAGTGCTGTAACAGGTGATCGTTCAGTTGGCACATGACTTGCCTGTCAAATCTCATAGATGCAGTATATTTGGAGATATTGTCTTGAACAGTGAACACAGTGTTTGAAACACACATTCAAGTCTGTTGGGGCCAATGTATGATATGCAAAAGAGTTCATGTCTCCAGATCTCAGGGAGACTGGCAATAACATACACATTCCTACAGTTGAACAACACCACACTTCTCCCTGCGCTTTATCACAGGCTCATACACACACACACGCACACACACACGCACACACACATACGGAGGCTGATAAATATTCAGCCTCTTACACCTTCACAGACTGTAATGAGCTGCGGCTTTGTGTGTGTGAATGTGTGTGGCTGCAGTGTGGGTAGTGTCTGCTGGAAGAGAAACGTCCTGTGCTTTCAGGGACCAGTGGGACATGTGGAGATACACACACACACACACACACACACACACACACACACACCCACACAGATACTGCTCAAAATAAACTTTGGAACAGGAGGAAAAGTCTTGATCCGGTGTGACCGGTCTTGTGTTGTGATGGGATTAACCAGCACCTCCCCCTACAAGCCACATACATACACATAGAAAAGCACCTCAAGATGTGTTTTTCACCCTGGCTCCACTCAGCAGCCCCTCTGCACAGGGATACATACTGTACAAACCCCAGTAACCTTTTCCACAACCTCATGAAATCCCACCGGTTTGGCGCTTAGGGTTCGGGTTGAGGGGCAGTACCATGAATACTATAATCCTCTGAGGCCATGATGGAGGAAGGCCTGCAGCTGGAGCTTTACTTGGGGCTCGATCTGGGCTTGATTGTGGCAGTGAATGAATCAGGTCTCCTTCTCCTCTGCCCTGCCCTGCACTGAGTGACCCCACTAGAAAACACCTGGGTGGAGAGTGAGAAGAAGTGCCTGTGGAATTATTGATGAGCCACCTGCAGTATTGTGCACGAGTAAATCTTTGTGCATGTCACTATATGATGCATTATTTATAGAGTGTTCTTCACCACCAATAGAATTTACTGGTGGCTTGAAGGGTTAAGAAAATAAATGTGATATGCTGCCTCTTCCTTCAGCAAATCTTTGCCTTCAGATTAGTTTTTTTGTGTCCTGCACTGTGATGTAATGTTCCCATATGGCACACACAGTACGATTTAGAAGGCTGAGGAGGTGCACAGCATCTCATAGAGAGGGTAACATAGGGATCACATATTAAAATGTATTTAACTGATTTGTGAAAACAATTGAAAATGTTAGCATGCTAACATTAGCCAATTAGCTCTAATCCCAAAGACCAGGTAAGGCAGATGGGAATGCCATTAGTTTTGCAGGTATTATGTCATAAACCAAAGTAATGGGCAAATTGAAATTTGTGCTGATCATATGAAGCTAGATGAAAAATAAAGCGATCAACAGAGTGACTAGTATTCATCCTCTAGTCACCATGAGTATTTGCACCAAATTCCATGGAAACCCTTCTAATGGTTGTCAAGTTATTTCACTAAAAACCAAAAATGTCAATATCGTAGTGAGACTGAAAAAGTGATCTGTTGAAGAAAAAAGTCACCTGATCACTAAAGTCAATAGGCTTCATGCCCTGGGTGAATCTGTAAGAAATTGCATCACAATTCTTACTGCAGTTGTTGAGATATGTCACTCTGCGCCGACCGACAGACTGACTGTCATCCCATGCCACGAGCAATATCTTATCAATAGGTCTATAATCGCAATGGCACAGAAACCCCTGGAAACGCCTCTGTTTGACATAATACTGTTTTTTGTTTGTTTGTTTGTTTCCAGGGCTTAGTGATAGAACAAATCGGGAGGAAGCCCCTCCTCATATTTGGTTTCTCTGCCATGGCTCTCTTCTTCAGCCTTCTCACAGTGTTCCTCAATTTCCAGGTAAGCTGCTCCTCCTGTTCTTCACTGACCTCTCTCTAGTGTACATGTGCAGTTCATATAGGTGCTCAGTCCTGCGGTCCAATAAGAGTGTGAGCAGATGACCTTCAGGATTCCTACTCTGTGGAAATGATGTAACCATACATCACCTCTGGAAAACAGAATATTGCATCTCCAAAACATACGATGAGACATCTTGTGCAGATGTTATCAATACATCAATACAATCGATGTGTGCTTATTAGAACAATGCGAAAAAGGAAAATACCTTGTAATATTGTATAAAAATGTTGATTACCTGTATGTCTGGGGATGTGGGCTGTTTAAACAGAAACAACATAAAATGTAGGGCGGAGTGCAACATCATCTCTCTCCCTTCTGCTCTCTCTTCTCAGGACAGTGTGTCATGGATGCCCTACCTCAGTTACATCTGTATACTGGCTGTGATTGCATCCTTTTGCTCTGGGCCAGGTAAAACCACTGACCTACATTACTAGCTCTGATTTTCTCCTTTTTAATTCTGCCTCTTCTTTCATTTTTCCTTTTTTGTTTCACAATCCTTCCCCAGTGCTCCACTTCAATTGAAACTGCACTTAAAAGAGATTGAGTAAATACTCGGATTTTGTCAGATTGCTTAATGCACAGTTGGCTGTGGTTCAGTGAAGTAGTTGTTGAATAATCAATGAGAGTGAACTCACTGTGGTCCAGTCGTCACTTTTAAAACTGGCAAAGGGACACACAGAGTTGCGGTGCCTTTCAGTGTACAATAGGAATAATCATCCAACTGATGTGTCAGTAATTAGAATCGCAGTGGAAGGTGCTATCATACATTAGCATATTAAACAGGAGCCATACAGCATATATATATATATATATATATATATGGCATAGCACAGGGGACAGGGTGAGCATGCACAGTGGGTCCTGGTGGGAGGATGACTTTGACTTTCAAGGTGAGGCTGTGGCTGTCATCACACATATACATTTCTTGTGCATAACAATGTCTCCGGGGAGTGTTCATCCAACAAAGTGCCTCAGTGTATCAGGATGAGATGAGAACAGTGGAGCACGCGAACGTGTGGGAACATTGACGCTCTCCTCTGCAGTGATCGCATACATAAAACCACAGGGTGTACATTTAATTTTCCTTAACCTGAAAATCATGTTCTTAACTTTAAAGAAGAAAAGGAACATATAGAAAGGTGAAATACACACACACACACACACACACACACACACACACACACACACACACACACACACACACACACACACACACACACACACACACACACACACACACTATTATAACACCACTGTAGCTTTTGATCATTCAGTCCATCGTTGAAGGAGGGCGGATTGTTTCTCGTTTATTTCCACTGCGCCGCAATGATTTATGGCCTGTTGAATCAAACAAAGCCCCTCAGTGCTTAGGAATGGTGAATGACTGGGAGGGAATGAGAGGAAAATTCACATGAGGGATGACCCCAGTTGTGCTTTGAGCGTGTTGGCGGATAAACAAGGGACCACGATTCCTCTCAAGCAATTTCACCATGCATACATTGGCCCAGATATTTCAAAGTTTGACGAAGACACAAAGATTATGTGGCTCTGTGGAAGCGAACTCTTGTTTTTGATACGGTGAATAAAAGGGCATAGCTGCAGTATGTTTGCAGTAGCGCTTCATATGAAATCGGAGACTGATGCATTGTGTTAAACGTATATTCACCTGCACCTATTTTCATCTGCCTGCCCGTCCTGGAGACATGTGACTGTCTGTGTGTTTAACTACAAATAAGTAGAGAGATAAAACACTGCCAGTATTGTGTGGGATTAGTCATGCCATGATAGAGATCTCTGTAAACAACAAGTGATCTGTAACGATGTTCAGAGAAAGCAGCTCCACTTTCCAGTTGCCAGCAAATCCCACATTTTTATTATGGTGTTCAGAGAAGGGAATCAGTCAGTCAGCTTTCACATTCAGTTAAAGGAAGACAGCCACAATATGTTTGCAACCTGCAATTTACTGTTCTGCTCAACAAACAATTACAATCATTGTAGTAATTATTTTAATAATAACTATTATTTTGCATAGTGTATATCTCTTACAAAGTGCCAAAGTCAACAGCTGAGACTTATATTGAGGGTATAATTGTAATGTCTCTCTGGTTCTGTGCCGTCAACATGTTGTGCATGATGAAAGCATGTTTGTGTGTCAGAGGTTGGTTCGACTAAATCCCCTCATTATTTGGGACTACACGTGTTGTTTTGTAACTGAGATGCAATTCACCTCATTAAGCTGCAGGGTGAGCCTTGGATGAGGCGTGAGAGTCCAGCACCTGGAGGAAAGGATTTTTGAGCGGTATCAGACATAATGAAATAAACTTCATTATGCAAAGAAGTAGAATTTTACATTCCTATCTCCTTTCACACTTTGCTGCATGCCTTCTCGTGTATCATTAAAAGCCTGACCGTCAATAATCAAAGGACCAAATTATGAAGTTTTTCTTCCTTTCTTTGTTCCCTCCTTTGCAGCTTCCTTTCTTTTGAGACTCTACAGAGAGCAATGAAACCTTTTTGCCAAACCTGATGTGAATTTGTTCCTGCACCATCAAACAGCCTCAGACTCTTTCTTCTTTGCCTTTATGTGTAGCACCTGACTGCCTGACACACGGCTGCTCCTTTACCCCTCCAGTATGGAGGGAGTGCATATTTCACTCCTCTTTGTCAAATCATCTATGTTGCATCGTTGCTGCAGTCTTCATCAATTTCTGTTACCTATATCGCAAATTTGACTACCTGCTGCAGATGTCCTGTCAGCCTGTGGATTTTCTATATTTTATTTGCCTTTGGGTCTTGATGCCTGATGCGTCCCTGGTCCTGTGGTCTGTGAAGGTCCTTGTTCTCACTGTAGGGCAGCTGTAATCACAAAATCAAACCTGACGTGCCCCCTCGCTTGTTTGTTTCGAAAGTGGTCTATTAAAAGAATCTCCTAGTTTATATGAAATAATTATCGAATCTTGCTATATTTTGTGCTCTATAGGTCTGTATCCTGATATTCTGTGAGTTTATGGTGTTTTCTCATATGGTATCTCCTATATTTTGGATCAGTGTGGATCTTGTGTTACATTGCATTTCACCAACTCTGTGAAACCAAATCCAGCCTATGGTTCTCCAAAGTGGTACAAAATATGTGTTTGCCTGTTGGATGGGGCTGCAATAGGCAGGAGTGCAGTGGTCAAACTTGTCACACTGTCAGCAGAATATTATCAACACCTTCACATCAGGGGTCGAATGCTGATCACAGTGGTCCTGTCCTGAGGAGGGTCACAACCAGCAGCTGCTAGTGCCAAATCCAAATTTGTCAACAAATCAGTTGACTAAATGTGGATTAATGATTATCTTTTCATGATGCGCACATGGATAGATATAGTGCATATATGCAGCAGATATACAGTATGTGTGTGAGGGCTGGTACAGTCTGTGCTGTGGCAAATAAATGTCCTCTACTGTAGCTACTGTATTTGCATTGAAGAGACTGGTTTGACGCTGTAGATAGAGTTTCCCGCTGTGTTTTATGCATTATGTATACTATGCGTTATGCTGTGTTTTATCCTAGCCTTGCTTTTTTCTGGCTTAGAACTGTGAAGTCCTTCACACTGAGGTAAATTATTTGTTTATAATAATTAAGTGGGTCTTCATCAGTTTCCAGGGATGTCTAAAGGGCAAATGGCCGGTTCGGCATCAGTTTTAATTTCTTCACTGTGTCTCTCGTCTCTCCTTAAATGAGCACAACCAGTGTTTAATTTTTTCTCCTCCAGCACAATCTGGCAGATACTGGGGATCTTTGTGACTGGCTGCTCTGTCACCCACTGCGATGATTACAGGCTAGAATGAAATAGGTTAGATTAAAATCTTGATGCAGAAAAGTGTAATTTACTGCAAGTCTTTGCCCTGTGCAGCAATAAGTGCTTAGCAGCAGACACTGGAAGTTGTTGAGGTTGGCTGAAAGCCTGTTTTAAATTAATTTGACTCAGTGACTGCAAAAGTGAAAACGAGCTGGTGTTAAGCTTTGATACCAGAGGGCATATGTTTTTTTTTTTTCAGTGAAGAAACATACAGACATTAAGAGAAATGTGGAGCTTCTTCTGAGCTGGACTTTTGAATTGACCATATTGAATAACAACTACACTACAATGCCAGATGTGCATTTTACAACCATGCAGATGAATATATTATTATATTATTGATGAATTATGAAAACATATCTTCTGTATGTATGTAGTATGTCCAGTATAAACAAAAATAAACAGCATTGGAATATTTAATATTCTGAAAATAAATGTGTGCATGTGGTGCTTTGCTTATAATCAAAGCATCTGCTCCATGTTCCACGCCATGTTTTCAACACTCTTGAAAATGTTCAGGATGTCACCAGCTGTAAAACACGTGTCCTCTGTCAACACCTCTGCACGGCATCAGAGTTGCCACATCTGAATATAGGGCTGATTAAAATCTACAGTATGTTTGTATAACACCAATAATATGTAGTGCCTACATAATATTATCTACACTGTCTGTTCTTCTCAGTCAAAATAGTATATTTACACAAACAGCAGATTGGGTCAGAGGTGTACAGTATATTTTCCCTTTTTTCTGTGACTGTTCGTAGTACACATGAGCACATGCATCACTCTAATTATACACAGCTTAATTGCGTTAGCTTTGAAATATAAGCCTCTGTAGAATGAAAGATAATTTGTCATGCAGCACCCACCAGTTGTGATGAAAAGTCTCCCTTGCTGAGTCAATCTCAGCAGGTTGGATTCGTTCATCTGTGTTATAATCTTATTATCTCTCTTTACATGCTGCTAATATACAGAGGCAGCTACATTATTATGATTTTTGAGTATATGCTGTGTTTAATTTAATCTCCCAAGTCTTAAGCGTATGTAGCAGTGATGTGATGATCTAAAAAGGAGATCTGTTAAAGGCTTCTCCACCTGAGGGTAATACCGCAGGTAGTCACACTCGTCACTTCATGATGGATGATACCAAACCTGGGGAATGTGAGCAAACTATCGGGATGGTAGATCACAGAGAGCAGACAATAGTGGTGCAAAATGCAACAAGATGTAAGGCAACGTGGCAAATAGGCAACTCATAAAAATACAGTCTAGAGAAATATTTTATGAAATCTGTAAGTCATAATAAATTGTTTTTTGCGCAGCAATTTCCCTATGTGACAGATGTGTTGAATTACAAGCTGCAGTTTTTTATTAGTTGGGCTGCTTACTAGTTGACATACGGTTTACATGGAATAACAGTGAGAGAAAATCTTTTTAAAATCCAGCACAGCGTGTATGGCACGTCTGCAACAAATTACTTTGGTTTGATAAAAATCCATGTAGGAAAGGATCAGCTGTTAAAAAAATAAAGCTGTTACTGAACCTTTTATCATCAACAAATCC